AATGGAAATCCAAAATCTCTGTAAATGTTCATTAAAATGAATAAAATAAAATTTTAAAAAATATGTATTTTAAACCCAGCCTATGCTACTTTAGTTAGTAGCAAAAAATTGAAAAGAAATGTCCAATGTATTAATTTACACTTGCTCTTACAATAAATGGACAGATACAACATGCTTCTAAAGCTGTGGTATTTTAAAATGCATTATTTTTTTTTAAATCTATTAACGAACCAAAACCATCCTTTTGGTAGCAATCTATTGACAATAGCCCTAAACTTGCCTTAAAAACTGAAAATACTGTTTACTTTTCTCTTGTACAAGTTCTGTGATGTCAAAGAAACCTAAGAACACTCTTAAAAAGGAGAAGACAGATACAGGGCTATCAGAAACGAAAATTACAGTGAATGACAAAAGTATAAATAAATACATTGTGAGTAATAAAATTACAGTTGTAGAACTAAATAGACATGAATGACTGAATGAAAATGTAATTGTTTTGTTAAACCTTCACTCAAATTGCAATTCAAATTGAAAATAAAAGCAATGAAAGGACCCAGGAGATTTAAAAAAGGTGTGTGTGTGGGTGGGTGGGAGTTGGGAAAAATAAAAGCTTTTACCGTGCACTGGGACCCTATTATTGGATTAAGGCTAAAAGACTAGGTTGGTAAGAAATAATAATTATCTCCAAAGATAACCGATAAGGATTAAATAGCACAGATTTTTTGGTGTTCCAGAGCTACTATTGCTATGAGTTGCAGGTGACTTGACAGCATATAACAGTATCTGAGGGCGGATGAAGTAAACAGGTGAATATGGATGGAATAAAGTTACAGAATTCTCGGAGAATTCTTCCCTCATGGCAATGAAGAAAGTCCCAGATTCTAACAGTGCCATCATCAGAGAATGCAGCAAATGTATTATCTGTGGGTGAGAAACTGGCCTCTATAATCACCTCCTTATGCGCCTGGAACATCTTGAGGTAGTTCATGTTCAACTGCCAGTATTTCACATATCCTCCGTGATCTGCTGTCAACATCCACATCATTATGTGACCAAGTCATGGACCTCTGTAATGAGCCTGTAATATTCTTTCAAAATTGAAAGTGAGTCCATTCCACAGAGTGAGTTCTCCACCGGAAGCTCCAGTTACTAATCATCTTCTTTTTGGAGTCCACTTAACAAAAAATACTGGGCACTTCACTTTATTTGTTGATATTCTAACAAATTTTGTTACTGAATTCACAGGATTATTCAGCATTCCTTCTGGGGGGACAAAATCATTATAATAATCTGCGTCAGGCTGAATTGTCCACATATTACTCTGGTCTATTTGCCATATTCAATTCTCCAAATATTTAATTACAGATGGATTGTAGTCTATAATTTTTAGGTTTACAGCTTTTCTCACGCGTTTTCCACCAAAGGTAAACTGTTGCACTGCTTGCTGTTGGGAAAAATCTGGTCATTTATAGAAGAGCTGTCGAGGTACTTAATGCTGGAACCTTGGCATATGGAAAAAATGAGGATGAGAACAAATTCCTGTAGCCATGGTAATGTCTTCTTTGTAGGGTATGTCCAAAGATGAACACAGCTCCAAATGGCTAGTGTTCTGGATTCACTTGGTCGGGAATAGCTCTGCTATCTGATCTCCTCCCTCACAGCTTCTCAAGCCCTTGCAACCAGAGGAAGAGCAGCCATCTTCCACCCTGCTATGGATATCTTACCAGACAGGGTTTTTTAATTCCAGAAACAGCCTTTAATTTCTGTCTCTTTCAGGCAGATCTCTAGCAATAAAACTCCTCTAAAGATGACAGTTTTGGCAAAAGCATCTAGTCCCAGACCCCTAAAGCACTCTGGCACAAAGCTCTGAATTTTTGTAAATCTATCACTCACGCAAGAAGCTGCACCTGCAGCAGAGGCAACATCTGTCGCTCCTTCTTCCTTGACCGCTGAAAGATGTTGTTCTCCTCTTCATGAAGGGAATGGCGGTCTGTAGTACAGGGCACATCCACCAGCACCTGCCCAGGGGTATTAAAGTGAAAGCATTAGAGCTTCCCACAGGTTGCTTTTCCTTATGCCTGGGCTGTTTCAGACTCTTGACCTTGGAAATTTTGTGGAGTATTGCCTCTGCCAATTGCTCCACTCAAAGTCCCTGATAAGATGTCTCATTTTAACCTGCAGACAATTGTGAAATAATAAAGGGAGAAACAGTATATTTGGGGATTCATGCATGGTTAAAAAATCTTGACATATTTCTAGAAAGATATCTTTAGTTCTTCAGGGCTCTGTCCTTAGCTATTTTAAATTAAGATATCCAATTCACAGACAATATCATGACAATAAGGTAGCTAATGTATTAAATAACGAATTCAGGATTCAGAACTATCTTAAGCTGAAACAATAACGATTTAGTATGGAAATTTTTTTTAATACAAACAAGTCCGTTTATTTACAAAATTATAAACAGTATTAACTGAGGCACTATTTCTGGTTCTGGAAACAACAGCCAATATAGCCTTCACTTTCAGTGAATGGTTCTGTTATTTTTAAATGTGATCTGTATTCAATGATCCACTGTTTTTTCAAAAAGCATTTCTGACTAATTCCAGGAGGTCTGTAACTGATATACACATGGATCATTTCCTTCAAATCTTATTTCCAGAACTACAACTGGATAGAATAACAAAGTATCAAACAACTGAATAAACATTATTTAAAAAAAAACCACCAAAATAAATATCAACTATTTCCTAAATATTTTCCCACTGGATTTAGAAACAAAGATTTCTGGCTTGAAAGTAAGTACTCTATTATTTTTTAACAGGTCATACAATTCAACAGTTAACAACAACTATCCTGTTATCACTGGTTTACAGGTTACATTTCCTGCTACTATTAAGTAAGGAAGTACTCAGGGCTCTGTGCTTTTAATCAGAGTCACTGCTACTGCTTGAGGAATCTGTTGACATAACCTCTACATCATCTTCGTTTTCCTTGTTATGCCCAGGAGGTTCCAACAGGAAGTCGTTACTGTGATTTGGTGGCAACATATTCATTGACATGTCACTGGACTGCCAGGGATACTGTGGAGCAAGGACATCGGGTAATTGGCCTGCGGCCAGTGCATCCCCTGGTAAGTGCCCATTTACACCATTAGTGGAAGGATTATTCATTTGACCCAAGAACCCACTTCTCATCTCTAAATCTGTTGGGTATGGTCTCCGTGGGTTCCCTGGAGCCCAAGTCAGTGGGGCACACACAGCATTACTTGCACTAATCCTATGTGCATACTTAATGATTTCTTCAGAGGATATAGCACCTTTTCTTGCTTTTTCTATTGATTTGAGCTTTTCTTTTGCTTGATAAACAGCTGTTGCCAGTATCTGTTCTGCCTCCTTTAGCTGCTTCTGTAATTGCTGAATATCACTGTCTCTCTTCTTGACTTCTTTTTCTAAAACGTGCATTTCAAGATGGACTTTCCCCTGATTAAGTGCTAATTTCATTAGTTCTTGAAATTCTCCATCTCTGTGAATTAACAACTCCAGGATCTGGTTTTCCTCTCCAGGCTGTAATAATTTTTGATTTCTTGAAATTGCTAGCATTTCTATAAGTTCCCTGGACAAGACCTCCAGATCTTCCAGCACAGAGAGCAGCCGCTCTCGTGTGCTGTTTCCACCGGTTGCGCCGGGGACGCCACCGAGACGCTCCTTCTCCTTCTCCGAATGCAAGGATGACGCCATCCTCCTCACAGAAACAACCTAAATGCCCATCAACAAACGAATGGGTAGAGAAGCTGTGGTATATTCGCACAATGGAATACTATGCTGCATTGAAGAACAAGGAACTC